CAATACTCAGTTTCTGGAACAGGACTATTGTTCAGAAGTGGACGAACAACCAGAACTTTCAACATGAGTTGAAAGTCGGTAAAGGCGAAGAAGACGATTATATTTCTTCCGCAGAGTTCTCCGTGGAAGTTGGTACCAGGGCATTCTCTTTCAATGACCATCTCACCTGTCGCTTTTAATGAATTCAATGGCCAGTTTCAGTCTTAGTCTTCTAAAATCTTCATGTGTGTGCCCGTGCGTGTGTGAGGGTGTTAATACTTCGGCAGCGTTTCTAAGACAACCCAAGCCTGCCTTGATTTTGCGCTCATCAGCTGGTTGATTATTCTTTGTTCACGTCATGAGAAGGAGAAACACTGGAGTACATTATGACGGTGGGAAGGTTGCTGGGGAAAAGAGACAGAGGGAGACCGAGAGAGAAGATGCTGCATAGTTGGTATGACATGCAAGAACATCGGTGTCAGAACTAATTGAAGAAAGTAAACGAGACAGAAGGTTTTTGATATACATGACCCCTCTACAAGAGCATCATTTTGCCAGTTCTTCTTTGTGGAGCGGAATGCTGGAGAATGACAACAACAAAAAAAAAAAAAGATGCACACAAGCTGTTCACCTTCCACCACACATGTCTACGTAGAATTATCAAAATTTTCTGGCCAGATACAATCTCAAACACTAAACTACTTAAAGTCACAAACCAAGAAACTTTAGATAGTATGATTACCAAGAGAAGATGGAAATGGCTTGGCCACGTAATGAGAATGAATTCTGATATACCTGCCAAAACAGCTCTCACACAGACACCAGAGGGAAAGAGAAAATAGGGGTGCCCAAAAACAACATGGATACGAACGATAGAAAGTGACCTGAGTACAGCATCTTTGACATGGACAACTGCACTGAAAATTGCACAGGACAGGAAAGCATGAAAAGTCCTCTTCAAAGCCTCATGTGCCACTATAACTAGGCATAACGAGAACTGATGATGATGATACATGACCCTAAAGCCACGCTACTGTGATAAGAAGAAGACAGTTAGTCGAGGCAGAACGAGGTTGATCTGCAAGAAAGAAACAAACAGCAAAAGTTGGTTGTTGTCGTCACACCACCGTGCTCATTAGATGCAACAAGGCTTAGTGCTAGACACGGGTACACAAGTGCACACGCACGGACTATTTTCGACTACCGTAGAGCCACTGTTCAGATATCTCATTCCAAATGATTAAAACTATAAAAAATAGCTCACTTAAAAAAAAAATCCGAAGTAATCGGATTAGTTCAATAATTAACATCAATTTTTGCATTAAGTCAAAATTTTTTTAATAAGTAATTAAAACATGTTTTCCTTGCGTAGGTGACAAAAGTGCCGCAAACTAATATGAAACAGCCGTAGAAAAACTCATCCGCCCAGGAAGCAAGACGCCATCTTGAATTGATATTTGAAAAGGCTGCTGTTGTTTCTGGGGCTTCTAGTCACTAGATATTTTAGTCTACAGAAACTGTTTCGATGATCATACTTCGGTCCACCTGGGCTTGTTTCGGTAAGATCCCTGTATGGCTTAACATTCGTGTAAGGTTAATATGCGGATCTTTAACAACGAAAACTGCCTATTCTTGAAAATAAAATGAAAGTTGGAAAGTGTTGGCTTGGTGAGAGAACACAGGACCCAGGATATCCTGTCGATTTCGCCATTATTCATTATAGTATAGTGAATAGTGTAGGCTAGTATTATATATAGTGAATAGTGATCTAAAAAGCGATGAAACGATTTTACTGTGTTCTCGCTCATTTAATGATTCTTTAATTTGTATACTTTATAAAATAAAGCTAACCATTTTGAAGACGTACTGACTGAAGTTCATAAAGTTTTTTTGGTAAACAAATCTTTAGAAAAGAAATGACTGAAATGGAAACATTAATTAGCATTAGGAGGGATGTAATTGTCAGTATAATTTAAGTAAGTAATAAAATAAAATAATGAATCACAGTAATGTACAGTGGTAAGCGTAATAATATTTTCATTGTGAGATGACGGTGAGGTGATTTTAGTCAGATTTTCATTTTCAGGATCATTTTTTTACTTATAAAACCAGTACTAGATTAACTAGATACGTATTTAAAATTCTTTCCAATGGTGCCTCATTCATGTCTGTGTGTCACTTTTAAGCGAACTATAGATAGTTTGGCTCTCCTTGCACCTTTGGACGCTAGCTGGACGGCTTAGGTCGGCTTAGTGGGAGTTCTCTCCCTTGGCCGCATTGACAACGAGCGGAAAAGTCACAAATCAAATGACATACTTACCTATCATCATCCGGGTGCGTGTAGGGTTGCATACAGTTACGTGTAGGGTTGCGTAGTCATCATACGGTTGCGTCTAGAGTTACCTATCATCATACGGTTGCGTGTAGGGCTGCATAGGGTGTCTATCATCATCATAGGGTTGCGTAGGGTGTGGGTTGGGGATAGGGTTAGGGTTTGATGTGAAAATGGTGACGTAGAACTTCCAAATACTGGGCGACAATCTGATGCTTGTGGGAGTGGCGCCACTGGAAGTGTGCCAGATATGACGGCAATAGCGCGCGGCTGGTGCCCAATTGGTGGCGAATTGTCCGTGTCAGTAGCATCCACCGTCCGTCAACTGTTTGGGTGTGTATGTGACTGCGCGATTATAGGGAACTAAGGCGTCAAAATTGTCACATCTAACGCTAAACCTAACCCTAACCTTACCCCTAACGCTAACCCTAATCCTATCCCTAACCACGCAAATTTATCGGTCATTAAAGCATACAGATTGGCAAAACACCAAAAAAAACACCCCCAGATTTCCCCGCAGCGTCAAAAGAAAAACCCAGATTTGGGGGACACAACCAAGCATTGGCAGTCCTGATGTCGACCTCACTGTCTTGTTTGATTCGTGACTTTTTCCGCTACTTGTTGTCAATGCGGCCAAGGGAGAGAACTCCCACTAAGCCGACCTAAGCCGTCCAGCTTGCGTCCAAAGGTGCAAGGAGAGCCGATAGTTTTGTGAAAAAAAAAATGATTAAAGAAGTTGGGTAAATTAGTGAGCATCACGTTTATGAGATCATGATCTAGTCAACAGAAAATAAAACTTTCTTTTTAATTTTAAAGTTTATATTTGAAAAAATAAAACACAGCAATTTTTTATTTGATTGTTATTGTTGAATTATGATGAATCCTTTCTTTACATTAAAGGAATTCATCATCAGTCAATTCAGTTATAACAATAACACTTGTAGTAGTTGTGATAGTTCTAGTAGTAGTGTTAACAGTTAAGTGTAGTGATTGTGGTAGTAGTTTTTTTTATAAGATGGAAGAAAAAAATCACATATTATCAGGACATTGTATATAATTATATAATAATTATTAAAATTGATAATATCGTGTGTCAGCACCACAGAGGTAAAGAACAGCATAAGACACAAGCAAAAACTGTTTATCAAAACATTATCTTATGCGATAAATTCAATTTTATATTGAAGGTTGGAAAAAGAATTCTTGTGTAATATATAGAGCCAGTAATACATATGGCTGTGAATTGTGGACAGTGGAGTAAACAGGGCCAACAATTTCTTGTGGCCTGTTTATGTGTATCTAGATTACCGTTAACTTTAAACTTGGAGCCATTATTGTAATCTTTGTCTTTGCTTTCACCAGCTGTCAATTTTAATTTCAGTGAAAACTCCTGGTTGTTAGTCCACTTCTCTTTCCTTAGGCTCTGTTTTATGACTTGAGTTTTGCTTGAACATGTTCTTGCATGTGTGGCTCAATGTGTGCAGACTGTTGGTTCCTTGCCTCTCAGGTAGATGTACTTTAAATGAAATGCCAGTCGTATCTACGCTAGCCTGCAGAGTGGTGTAAAGTGCCCTTAGGGAGAGGGTTTGTCCTTATGCAGCACAATCTGTGACCTCAGTGTCTCTGCGTCCCATTAGTGTAATCAGTGTAGAAACTAATGGCCATAATTTCACCAACCACAGTACTGTTGAATATAAGAAGATTGTTGATTAAAAGGGTTTTATATTTCTTCTGCTTTTCTTCTCCACCCCCCAGTGGAGCATAAACCTCAGTTGACTGACACCAGGTAATTCTATCCTTTGCTGCCACAAGCAGCTCTCTCTGTGTGGGTTCCTGGGCTCCATTGTAGGCAAGGGAAAATCATAGACCCTCTGCCCCCCAACAAGCAAGTCTCAAAAAGTGTACTTCCCTGTGTGGGTTATGGCACCCTATTGCCTGAGAGGCAAGGAACCAGCAGTCTGCATACAAATGAGTCAGATCAGTAAAATGGAAACACACAGTACTCAGATTCTGGAACAGGACTGCAATCTAGGTGTGGACGAACAACCAGAACTTTTCACCGAAGTTTACAGCTGGTGAATGCGAAGAAGAAGAAGACAGAGTTTACTAATTTTGAGTATTTCCTTTGAAGTCAGAGTGTATTTGTTTTTGGTAAGACATTTTTTCAGCACTGTAATGTTGATATAGTAGCCTCCTCGTGGATTGAGTACCTAGCCTTCTCAAATAAGTGCAGAACTAGGAAGACCAATGTGCTAGTTGCATTTTCTTGAAATGTTGCAGCAGTTGAGGTAAAAATTAGCAGGACAGATACGTGGCTAACATAATGTTCAAAACATGTGCAGTTCTAGCACATAACCAACACATTTGGATTCTCACCGATAATATGAATACAATAATTTGTGAATGTCAGATTCTCCTTGTGTAGAAGAGACTTAAACATTGATAAAGATACCAGTGTACAATGAAATGATTCTGTCCATGGTAAAGCGATAGTTACTAGGACTATTGAGTGCTTTTTTTTTTGCACGAGAAACTTGTTTATAAGTTCCTGTTTTGTTGCATGCCTCTCTCTTTTCCAACTATTCCCTACTTTTCTCCCTTCAACCCCTCTCCCCAACTTAATGTTGTACATTTAAAATAAATTGATATGTTGTCTTTGTTTCCAGAAACCCTATAATTTTTGCTCACCATGAGTAGTTATCAGATGAATTCCGGCACTGGACCCGCACAGACCAGTAAGTTTGTCTTGTCAGTGTTCTCATTTCTGTACTGTTTTCTAAGTGTTTTAGCAAGTAATTGTGTAATTATAATTGACCAGCAATCTGTTTTGGGTCACTAACTTACCAACCCAGCATACCTGGTTTGGCTTTCTATTGTGTGTTTCTAAGACCTTAAGGTGAATGTTGCTGACCTTAAGGAGTTTGTTGCTAAAAGTAAGCATATAGCAGATTTTGTTTAATGAGTTTGGTGTCTTCTAAGTCATCTTGACTTCAGTGATCAATTCTTCTTGTGTCCATATCTGCTTTGTACCACTAGGCATCACAGTTTAAGAGATGACTGGTATCCGAGCTGGGGAACGCTTGGTTGCCTATCATGCTGTAGTGTGTGGAGTCTCAATATATCAGTGATTCCTTGATTATCCCCTACCTCTTAGTTTTGCTACTTAAATATTAAACGCTGTCATTGCTGACATTGGTTTTATTCTCATTAATGGCCAAACTATTTCAATCTTTATTTTTCATTTAATTTTAGGTTTTTTCTAATAGTTCTTATAATTTCTTAGTTTTTTTTCATTATATTAATTAAACAAACAGGAACTATCCACAAAACTCCATCGATAGACTCAACAGAAAAATAACATACAACAATTTGTCATCTAAGAACAGGACACCGTGGGCTCAACTACCACATGCATCAAATAAAGTATGTACAGTCCTCACAGACCTGCCCACTATATTTACAATTACAAACAGAAATCATCTTAAAAGCAAAGTGCAGAGCAAGCTGTGGGGAACCACGAGAGATCTGACATGCAAATTCATAGAAGCAACCAACGTGACGACATGACCTGAGCATATGAAGCCAAACATGAAGAAGAAGATCAATTATATTTTCACCTGTCAATTAGATATACTCCCTGTGTGGGTTCCAGGGCCCCACTGAAAGAAAAATAAGAATAGACCCACTGCCTCCTTAACAAGCATGTCGTAAGGGTCGACTAATTAGGGACATCCTTCGAAGTCAGAATATATCTGCCCGCAAGTCAAGGAACAGCCAGCTGCACACAAATAAGCCAGTAAATGGATATACACAGCCAAAGTCTAAATGGATGAAAAACCAGGACTTTCTGCCGGAGCTTACAGACGGTGAAAGCCCTTGTTTGTTTGGGTAAAGACCGGGAGATAGTTCACGACTCACATCCATATATTGCCACAGGGAAGATGCATGCTCTCAACATTTGAACTTTAAAAACATAAGCAAAACAAAAATATGAGACTTGCTATTTGTTTTTCGTAACAGCAAAATATAGCTAGCCGAAGATATCTCGGATGACATTTTTAAGGATGTATGAATGTGGAGTTAACGTGTAGATCTGGCAAGGAGGTGAAAATAGTATATTTATGACCACTATGTTTTTAGAACAGTTTGTACCTTACACCATGTTTCTTGTGAGAGGCAGTGCATCTATAGATGCTGCACCTTTGTGCCATGAAGTTGATTCTTTAAGTAAAATTTAAGAATAGCTATATTTCTGGCTCCCATTTTGTCCAACACATCTGCTATAAAAGTAACATATGTGGTATTTGTAATATGTTATTAAGGTGTATTTACATTTTTAGAATGTTATTAAGGTGTACTTGCATTTGTAGTATGTTATTAAGGTGTACTTGCATTTGTAGTATGTTATTAAGGTGTACTTGCATTTGTAGTATGTTATTAAGGTGTACTTGCATTTCACATTTGCTCTGTTTGATGTCTTCAGTGGGTCCATCCAGTGAGCCCAGCTACATGGATCTCAGCAACATGCCAATGGACAACAAGCAGCAACAGACAATGATTTGGCAACAAAACCAGTACATGAGTGATTCTGGTATCCACTCTGGCCAGACCACACAGGTATGAGAACACAAAATGAGTGAGTATATGTTGTACATAGCTGGTGGCAACATTATGGCCAGCATAGAATTTTCCTTAGCAGTTGAAGCTCACACCTTTTCCTAATCTACAAACACAATAGTTGGCTATTATACTTGGTGGTGCTCTTCGTGAATTTTTCTAACTCTTGATTCTTTATTGCCCAATTCACTAACATTCCAAGTTCTGATTATCTCCTATCTCTTTCTGAATTTTCACTTGTTGCCATCGTTAGTTTGTTGATAAAGCTCATTTGTTTGCAATCGACATTGGTTTGTTCTTTGTGTGTATGAAACTGTTGTAATGTTATCATCATCATCCGTCAGTTACACTTTTCTTTAAATTCCTCCAAAATTGATGATTTATTTCACGTGGACAGATAAATTGCCTACCGGCTTGCGGGGTCTGTCACAGGATCATCACAGTAACACATATTTACGTACCACAGAATGTTAACAGCATATAGCATCTTTAAAAAAAAATTTTTTTTAAAGAAAAAAACTAGATTAGATGTTTAGCCTTGTGTTGGGATATAACCTAATAATCTCTAAGCCTAACATTGTAACATCTTGCCGGTAAGAAGTTATCAGTTAGTAAGTAAAGTACTCTTGTTCCTTCTGTGAGGTGTAGGTGGCCAGTTTGAATCCTGGTATGTCTGTAGCGTTCATTTTGTGTGTTATCTCTAGTTTGTCCCTGGATGTCTACTATCCATTACTGCTGTCAGTGCCATTTAACACCTGTAAATTGGCTCATCATCTCACCATTAATAAATTTAGGGTTGATGTCACTTTTGATAAAATCTGGCAATTGTAATTGATTTCTCCTCCAGGCTCCATCCATCAGCAGTAAAAGCCATGGAGATGATGTTGAAGATGGAGAGATGGATCCCTCCAAAATGATGTTTGATTGGGCCCTTGGTGGTGACACATACACCCAGGAACAGGTTGATGGTAGGTACACAGCTTTGTTTTCTGAGTTGTCATCTCTTTATCTTCTGTATTCATCCCCAAAAGATTGTTGGTACTATTGTTTGCGCCCAGCGGTGCTGCAATATTTGGTTGATTTCCAGGGCCAGCACTTTCAGTGGTGCTAGCCATTGGCCTTCTCTAGTTGCTAACATGGGCTATTGTGCCACCAGTCACTCACTGCATCCATATCTTTGACTGCATTCTTTAATCCTTCTTCTGCCTTTCTAACCGCCAATGGAGCATAGGCACTCAACCAACTTACGCTAAGTCATTCTACCCTTTTTTTGTGTGTGTTATTGTAATTCCCTCCCTCTCGGTCTAAACATCATCACTTTTTTAAGGTAAACTGTATGTTGGCTGCTTAGTTATGTGCCTGAACCATTTCACTTACTGTTTTGTAGTGAAATAGAGCAGTGACAACAACCCATGGCCTTCATCTTGTCCAGTATTCTCCTTGTCGAGTGCTCTTCTCCGTTGCACCTTTTCTATTGCTGTTCATCATGTTTTAGCTCTGCTGATTATGAAGATTGATAAATTAATGTATTTCAATTATGAAACATTGTTAATATTATAATGTCCTCATTATATACAACATGATAATTGAATCTGACATAAGTTTTATTAACTTTTTATATAAAAATATTTCCATCAAGTTAACAGTCAAAATTGTCATTAATCAAATAGTGTTCACTAAGTTTACCATCTTCAATTACCTTCCAGACATCAACCAACAGCTGAATCAAACCCGTTCCCAGCGTGTGCGTGCTGCCATGTTCCCTGAGACAGTACCTGAGGGGGTGCATATTCCTTCCACACAAATTGAGACTGACCAGCCAACTGTTGTCCAGAGACTGAGCGAGCCCTCACAGATGCTGAAGCATGCTGTGGTCAATTTGATCAACTATCAGGTAGTGCCAGGCCATGAACTGTTGTCATCATGTGTAGATTGTTCATCATCATTGCTTTCAGCTCCTGGGATGGCTTTGTAGCTGTTTTACCAGTGTCTGTTTCTGCACGCTTTAGTGATGCTTAAATCTCCAGAAACCGATTTTCCCACCAGGACATCGGTTTTCATTAGTGATAATTTTCTGAGGACTGTGACTTCTTCACTCTTTCCACTCCAGACTTCTGTTTTTAACAGCTTGATCCTGTGTAGATATTCATTCATCTACCTTCTGAAATAGGAAAGTTCATAGAAAAACTCCTTTTGCCTCTACTAATATGTTTGCCACATCTAGTTAGCTATTTACTGCACTCAAGTAGTCCTGTCAGAGTTAAGAAAAGTAACATGGAATAATTCAGTGGATCCATGGAGCCACTTTCAGATGTAAATCCTACAGGAGCAGATCCCTGTGGTTAGGATTTTTCGGTGATGTCTGAAACTATACAAAGAAGAACAAAAAGTAAAATGAATCTTCAGGCTACTGTGCCAAGTCTTGGCCGCTTTCTCTCTTGTATTACTGAAAGCCATTTCCTTTTTGTTTATGTCTTCCAGCATTTTTTCATCAACCTGTTTTAAAAGGAAGCTAATTATTTGTGTATTATTCTAGCACCTATCACACACCATCCCATTATTGTATAGCATATTCAAACAGTATTTAAATGGTTGGTCAAAGAAGGTTGGATGGAAGAATATGACAGGCTTTTGTCTTTTTTTTTAAGGATGATGCAGACTTGGCCACAAGAGCCATCCCTGAGCTGATCCGACTGTTGAACGATGAGGACCAGGTGGTGGTGTATCAGGCGGCAATGATGGTCCATCAGCTGTCCAAGAAGGAAGCTAGCAGGCATGCGATCATGAACTCTCCACAGATGGTCACAGCTCTCATTCGGGCAATGGCTACCACCGATGATCTGGAAACCACCCGATGCGCTGCAGGGACTCTGCACAACCTCTCCCACCACAGGCAGGGTTTGTTGGCAATCTTCAAATCTGGAGGGATCCCAGCACTAGTCCAACTGCTTAGGTATGTCCGGAATATGTTCTTTTCTCTTGGTACTCACCAGTTGTAAACTCTGGTTAAAAGTTTTGATTGCCTGTGTGGACTTTGTGGTCTTATTCCAGAACTTGTTATGCTTGCATCACTGTTTTACAGATCTGGCCTATTTATATACAGACTGTTAGTTCCCTACCTCTAAGGCAGAAGTACTTTGACTTGAAGGAAATCCCCCTGATTAGTCGCCTTTTACAGTATGCATGTTTGGAGAGGGGGGGTGGAATAAATCTATTTCTCCACTCCCCCCTCCAAAATGGACCCTGGAATCCACACAAAAGTCTGGAATATGTTCTCATTGTTTTCAAATGAGGAGTTGATTAACTTGTGACATAAGCAATTGAAGTAACAAACATTAAAGTACACACACAGAGTAGATGCAGTTTGTAAATAAAACATGAAGAATCATATGAGTAGTCTTGATATTTAAGAGGATAAGACATAAAGAGGACAAACATGGAAGTTAAATATATTAACAATGTTTGCCTCACAAAATTTATGAACATTAAATGTGATGAATTCAAGAAAGTGGAAAAACAGTATGAACAGAGCATAATCACCCCTACCAGTTGGCAAGTTGCCTGATGATGATACCATTACAACAGTTTCATATGTGGGTCTGAGTATTTTTGACAGTTATATGAAATGAATAATTCTAACAATTTTAATGCATATTTTAAAGTTTATTAATACATAGTTTAACAAGATTATTACATATTTTAAGAAAATGCATCACATATTTTAACAATAATTAATACAATTTAAGAAAATTTGCCAGAATAAATTTTAACGATAGTCAACACATTTTAGCAAAATATTCAGTACATATTTTAATAATATTCAACAAATATTTTAGCCCTGTTTGTTGGCAGACTTTAGTATAGTCTTGAAAATGTATAGCATATTCTTCTTCATTTTAATGAGTTCAGTGTATTAAATTTTTGAAACAAATTTTCAATGAATATTTGACTGAAGATGTAATATTTGACTCACTGTGTAGCTCCCCTCTGGAATCAGTGCTCTTCTATGCGATCACCACACTGCACAACCTGCTCCTGCACCAGGAAGGCTCCAAGATGGCTGTTCGCCTGGCAGGCGGGCTTCAGAAGATGGTGGCCCTACTGCAGCACAACAACAATGTGAAGTTTCTGGCAATCACCACAGACTGCTTGCAGATCTTGGCCTATGGCAACCAAGAGAGCAAGGTATGTGGATGTTGTCAGATATAGTGAGCAGGTATAGTGTCATCAACAGCACATGTTTTTTTTCCTGTATGGTTTCCAAAGCCCCATTTTGGAAGGGGATAGAGGTCCTGCTTTGTCTTTCCCTTACATATTTGTAGACCTAGTTGTTGTACATAGAAGAATAATAAGGCAGTAGAACTGAGGCCTAGCATTGTAGATATAAAGAGTAATGGCTATTATTTAGGGACACTAATGTGGGTTGGAAGCCAAGACCTTTGATCTGACAGCTGAGTATCTAGTCAGTATTCTGTGACTAGTCTCTTAAATTGTAGGTGACATTTAGATACTTACATTGTTACAGTTTTAAGAAAAACAATTACTATGATAACGATGGGGGTTGTGAATGTGATTTGTAATCCTGAAGTACCCGGTTTGATTGCAACTGCAGGTGATTTGGCAAAAGGCCGCTTTGTGTTGGCCTTTCAGAAAGCAATGGCAAACTACCAAATGTAAAGTTGCCTTGAGAATTCACAGAGAGCCAGAAAGTGCTGGTTCTGCAATGTCCAGTTTGAAATAAAAGGCAGCGATACTCCGGGCACATTGTTAAGTAATATGACGCTGTTCATATTTACTTAATTGATTAATTTATGTTTATCTTACGTGTCTGTTTTTGTTCTCATTGATTTTTAGCTGATCATCCTGGCAAGTGGGGGACCAGGAGAACTTGTTCGCATCATGAAATCTTACACTTATGAAAAACTGCTGTGGACCACGTCTCGGGTTCTGAAAGTGTTGTCGGTGTGTCCTAGCAACAAGCCAGCTATAGTAGAAGCAGGTGAGTGATTATGCGTGTGACCAGCAAAGTGCATGTGTCATATTTTATATCTTCAACAGCAGAGATAGAATTTGAAAAAATAGGTTCCACGTCCTGTATTGCATTTGTTGGGAAACAGCAGATACAATGAAATGAACATCTTGTGAGAAAGAAACTATGTTTTGTTTGCAACTAAAAACCCTTTAGCTAAAGAACCACAAATAGAAGAATATTTTTAGAAGTCTTAGCCTTTTTAGGACTGACTTTATACAATTCAGGGACAAAATGTTTTGTGATTACAATTCTTTATTGACAAGATTGTATGCAGAATAAAGTGTTCAGTAGTGCAGGAACCTCTACAGACCTAACAGAATCATATATAACAAAATAGGTACCACCCCATGTGGGTTCCGGGGCCCCATTGTTGGAAAAACAAGAAGAGACTCACTGCTTCCCCAACAAGCATGTCCTAGTAGTTGAATAATTGGGGACATCTTTCAAAGTCGGAGTGCATCTGCCCGAGAGATGAGGAACCACAGGTCTGCATACTGATAAGCCAGATCTGTGAAACAGATGTGCACACAACACTCAGGTTCTGTAGCAAGACTTAAGTCTAGAGGTATACGAACACCCACCACCGGAGTTTACAAAAGATGAAGAAGAATAAGAAATGTTGTACACATAAACAGTATAAATACTGACCAAAAATTATCTAATTTAGTTTGGTTTTACCTCGTTTGGTTTGATTTTTCCAGGTTACAGTATTACATTATGCTATAAGGAAGAATATAAATTAAACTTGTGGCAATGGAGAGTGCCACCAGCATGAACATTTTGCACATGTCCTCATTTATTTTTCTCTGTCATCTCCTTCCTAATCCTCCCACTCCTGTAAAACAGAAGCATTGCAAAATGTACAGATTATTTACTCAGTTCAAAATAATAAAAAAAAATTTGTGGGGGGGGGGGGGAATAAAACTGCACCTTGCTTATAATGTTAAGGGTAAGAAGGAAAACATGCTGTATTTGAACATCAGTTATATCCATGTTTGACAGCCATGGTACTGTAGCTGTTCGGTGCTTGCCTGCCACCCTAAGGTCTTGGGTTCGGATCCACATCGGGTCGGGGTGGTTTTTCAAAATTGACCTTTGCTGCCAGGACGACCTAGCCCAAAACAGGTAACTTGTAGTGACCTGGAAGGTAAAGGCGGCCGGGATGACATCACCCACAATGCACGGATTAGTCTATACAAATATGATTGTAGCATTTGGCCCCATCCTAGTTCATTTGTACCTTGTAAAGTACACACAGTGTGCAGAGCGCCTTCTTGTGAGTATACAAGAATTCCCAAGCACTCTTTTGTTCCTTCTGTCCATATTTTGCATTTTTGACCTTCCTTTTCCCTCCTTTCACGTTCACCGAAAGTAAACTCCAGAGGAAAGATCTGGTTATTCATCCACTCCTAGACCTTAATCTTGTTCCAGGATGTAAGTTTATTGTGCACATCAGTTTTACATGTATTTGTAAGCAGACTGTTGGTTCCTTGCCTCCCAGACAGATGCACTGTGACTTTGAGGGAAACATCCTTAATTAGTAAACGTTCATGGGGTGCAGTGGGTCTGTCTTCCCCCTCCCCCAATGGGGCCTTGGAACCCACAAGGGAAGAGCTTTCCTTTTCTTCTTCTTCGCCTACACCAGCTGTACAGTCTGGCGGAAAGTTCTGGTTGCTCGTCCACTAGTGAACTGCAGTCCTGCTCCAGAACCTAAGTAATTTCCACTTGGTGTATACATCAGTGCGCATTTTAATGTCACCACCACATATCAGATCATTGGTTTGAACATCCAATTGATTGTCTCTTACCTAATGTTGTTTATAATTTACCAGGTGGTATGCAAGCTCTGGCCATGCATTTGGGACATCAGAGCCAACGATTGGTTCAAAACTGCCTTTGGTCCCTCAGAAACTTATCCGATGCAGCTACTAGAATGGTGAGACAATAGTTTAAACACTAAGAACATAGAGTTTAGTGCACAACCACTTGAGATTAGTAAGTTAATTTTTGTCAGCTGTGGTTGAGGGTTGTAGCTGTGAGAAATATTTCAAGAGGACTGTCTAGCATTATTTGTATGCCTTACCATAGAATATGGAAATTGATTTTGTTTTTGTGTGGGTCAGGTCTTTATTACTATTTATAGACTCAGGACAGGATGAGGAGCGGCTGGCCAAACGGTTAGATCGCTGAGCTCTTAAGCGTGAGACCCAGGTTCGAATCCCTAAGGCGGGGGATTTTTTTCTGTCGGGGCAAATAAAATCCTCACCTGCAAAGTCGTGGCGACAGCACTAGCCATGCGGCTGTAAATCCCCAGGCTCAAAGACCCCCTGCCTACCCAGCAGAAGTAGTATAATGAAGGCAGTAATTGGCAGCTTTTAACTCAGGACAGTAGGGCAGACATTGAACTAAGTTGTCACCCTTCAAGTCCGAGTCGAGTCCCAGGCCATTGCTATTAAGTCTCTGGTCGCCCGGCTCTCTAGCGTAGTTGGCTAAATCAGATTGCACAGTGACCGGGTGATGAACTCCTTTTGGTCCGGGTTCACAGGGGTAGGCAGTAAAGCTACATTTCGCCCAGATTTACAGTATTTACAGTGGAATCAAGGCCGAAAGGTTGCGATATCCACAATACCAAGCCTAAGGGTTAACAACTAATGGCTTCTGGATACTAAAACAAAAAAAAACAAGTCTCTGGTCACCAAGAATGCTTTCAAGTCAATTCATGTGTCAACTTAATTGCAAGTCGTGTAGGTTTTTTAAAATTTACTAGATAAAGATAATTCAAAATTAGCAAATATCCAAACCGTATATGGCAGTGCGAAAAACTCACTTAACTGCATATAAAAGGGAAAAGTCAAATGAAAAAGCTTGATAAATCAAAACAGAATTTATTATGTCCCATATGGAGACGTTTTAAACTGACGTTGATCACTAAACCTCACAGTGGCCGACTGCGGAGAACGAGTCGCACCAAGTCGTTGAAGCTGCAAGTCGCACAGCGAGTCACTGAACACAACACCAAGTCGACTGTAATGCTTTACTAATTTGTGTCAGTTGGTCAGAGTATTTTCTATTTTGTGAGTATGTACTTACAAAATATGAATGAAGACGGCAACCATGTTGTTTCGTCTAGAAACCTTTATGTTGTTTCTTATTTAGTTAGTACCTTTTTGTATTTAAGTAACTTTTATGTTGTTTCTTATCTAGTAACCTTCATGTTGTTTCTTGTGGAGAACTTTTTTGTGTGTGGTATAGTAACCCTTATATTGTTTCTTGTTTAGTAACTTTTTTTTCATAGTAACCCTTATATTGTATCTTATATAGTAACTTTTTTTTTTTGGTGTATAACCTCTGTGATGTTTCTGTCTAGTAACTTTTTTGTTGTTGTATAGTCACCTTAGTGTTGTTTCTTGTCTAGTTAACCGTTATGTCTCTCCACAGGATCACCTGGACAACCTGCTGCACATGCTAGTGCAGCTACTGGCTGGCAACGACATCAATGTTGTGACATGCGCTGCAGGAATACTCTCCAATCTGACCTGTAACAACCAACGAAACAAAGTGATAGTATGCCAGGTGGGCGGCATTGAAGCCCTGGTGCGCACGATCATGCAGGCGGGAGACCGGGAGGATATCACCGAACCAGCTGTAGGTTGATTTTGGAGTTAAAAGTCATTTTTGGTTTTTGTGTGTGTGTATTTAATTAGTTAGAAATATTTGACGTTTTGGCCCATTTGCATTTTTAAAGACTCTTTAGATGGATGAAAGCAAATTTTATAGTGTTTCACATAGTAACCTTGGCTTTAAAAGAAGTTACTGTAATATTTTTTTGGGGCAGATGATATCAAGAAGGGAGGTGACGGCAGCCTTTAGCTGGTTTTATATTCAGCTGTTCACATATGTCGTAATTGTAACGACGACGATAATATCTAAAATATAATGGTTAATGTTAGTGACAAACAAGGGCTGAAGGGAAAGAGATAAATATGATAAAAAGTGACAGTTACATATAAAATACTGTAGGTGATAATACTAACTGATGTGCTGAAGTGAGATAGAAGTGACAGTAACATCTAAAATACACTAGACAATGGTACAGACGGGCTGATGGGGGTAATGTAATGGTAAAAGTTACGTGTAAAATACAACGGGTAACAATTGATAACTGATAACCACTGGAAAGAAAGAGTGCAAGGTACAGTTACATACCATGTAACACCTAGCTGGATTATGTGATGTTTACTTTTTATGTACCAAGAAAAGATATAAATCCATACAAGAAGTATAACCGGTCAGCCTCACATTATCACAATGTCCTCACTCGTCTGCCTCGAGTGCTAGTGGTTCTGGTTTGATTCCCTGGTAAGGGCTGGGATTTTGTCACGTGGACTTGACCAGTACTGAGATGGCATGTATTTATAGCTACTATCAAGTCTTACTGAATATGTACAGTTTATATCCTGTTTCTCTTCTTAAAGTCCATGCCATGTGGGGTTGGTGGTCATGTCTGTCCACAGCCTTCTGTCTAATGTACTTTCAGTCAGTCCTAACACATGTGATCATCTGTGCCATGATGTCAGAACTGTCTAGCATAATTTTTCTCTCGGTCTCCTTCTGCCTCTCCTCCCCTCCAACTTTGCTACTGTAATAATGTCCTCCAGTTTTGTCCTTCTCATGATATGACCAAAGAATGTGTAGATTGTCTCTTTCTGATGTGGGCTGTCAGTTTCTTTCAAGGCATCTTCATTGCTATTTTTTATGTGTCCAGGGTATTATCATTCTTCCATAAAACCACATCTCTGCAGCATCCAGATAATTGTTCACTAACCTGTCACGTCCGTGACTCACTTCCATATATCAGGATAGCATTTTTTTTTTAGCTTTTAAGAATTATTTGTCTTGTCTCAGTTAGGGAAGATTGCATAAAATATTCTTCATTTTGTAAAATGATGCCTGTGCTTGAGCTATTCTACATTTAACTACAACTACTATCTGATGTGGCGGCGTCCGTGGCTAAGGCGTTGCGCGTCCGACTCGTGAGCCAGCATACTGCGATCGAAACCCACTGCAGGCTGCGTGGATTTTTGTTGTGGTATGGGACGTTGCAGGTCGACCCAGCCTAAAATGGGTACCACGATGGGCTGTCCTGGGAAAGTAAAGACAGCCGGCGTAATGCTGACCACATTACCCACAGAGTGCTGATGGTCTGTAAAAATATGGGACGCTCTGCCCATATGCCCGATGCGCCGAAAGGCGTGAAAAGGGATCTTTACTTACTTTACTATCTGATGTTATCAGGGTACCAAATACTTAAGCATAGTAACTTGCTTGAGTTTTGTCCTGTTTCTAAGTGAGGATATTTTCCACTTGTACATCATCTTTTGCTTTTTTCCTACTGACAGAAACTTGGCTTTGTGCCCTGCAAATCATGCACCCCTGCGTGAGCATGGTGCCTTGCCTAGAATTGTACAACTGTTGATCAGGGCTCATCAGGACACACAGAGGGTAAGATAAATACATGCTAACTCTGTTGTCAGTACCAAGTGCATTCACTGGTTACTTTCTTTACATGATATACTTGTCTGAACTCTTGTTTTTTTCCCTCATCCATTAGTCCAGGTTTGCCTTCATTTTGGATCATTATCTCCATAAGTGTTGTCGTCTTCTCCCATAGACAACACAGACAAGAATCCTACCACATGGGCTGTGTTGCTGGTGATGATGCAGATATCTATGTTCAAGAAACATATCATTTGACATCCTCATAGTAAAGCAGTAACAACTGTTGGGCAAAAGAAATTCATCGAACAACCATGCTTGCTTCACCTATGCACAGCATGCAACTTTCAACCCATTTTTTTTATGCAAATGATCCTCCATGCCATAATGTCTCTTGGCCTCTCTCTCATCTCCTCCTCTCCAACATTTCTGCCGTCATGATGTACCCCAGCTCTCTACACCTGATGTGACCAATGAATATGGACAGGTCTCCTGTTGGAATGCTGGCAGCCATGTCATAAAGACAAATTGCTTTTATAAGAATTTCAGCATTGCAAGCATATTCTATGTATTATCTGAGTCCATTTGATTTCCCAGAAGTGAGAAATATAACTTTTGATTTGAATTAATGAACTGTAAGATACGGTCGTGAATCATGGACAGTTAGTAGATTTGTGAAAAATTATTTGAAAGCTGCAGAGATGTGGTTTTATAGATGAATGATGAGGATATCCTGGACGGACTAAAAAAGACTAATGAAGACGTCTTGAAAGAAACTGACTCACGAAGAGAACTGAATACCCACATCAGAAAGAGACAAACTACATTCCTTGGTCATGTGATAAGAAGAAGAAAACTGGAGTACACTGTGACAGTAGGAAAGTTGGAGGGGAAGAGAGGGAGACTGAGAGAAAAGAGGCTGGGCAGTTTGACATCATGGCACGGAAGATCATGCTGATGGGACTGCCATTACCAGTTATGTAGACTTACAAGACCAAATACCAGAGATTAACATCAGATTGGAACAGTCAGGTTGCTTCTTTTGTTTCTATTCACCCTCCATTCAACATAATGAAATGTCATGTGGAGATGTAAAGGTTATCTGTCTGCATTGTTTGTCAGTTGGTCTTCTGAGCTTCAAGTCGAAGTGGCTGACATACTGTCTACATCATCCAGTGTGCATGATGAATGCGGATTATGGTCCCTTATTTATGTTTAGACCCATGCCCCTGAGATGCTTGGATGCTCACCTTCCTGCATGCGGTCTTGGGTTCTAATCATCGGGTCAGATTTTTGTTCAAATTTGACCTAGGATCCTGGGTCGACCCAGCCTAAAATGAGTACCAGGTACTGCTGTGGGAAGTAAAGGTGGCCTGTATGATGTTGACATCATCACTTGGTCTGTAAAAAATATGGGTCTGGCATCATATACCCACTGCGCCACTGGAGTAAAAAGAATGCTTTACTTGTACCATACCCATGCAGTGCTTGGCTTTTAGACTGAGGTGATTATACAAATACACACGTCATGTTGATGCAACTTTTAAAAGGGCCATCTCTGAGAGCTATTAACATCTTTTTTGTCCCTAGAGGGCATCCATTAGCTCCAACGGACCTCCACTGACTGGCTACGTTGATGGTGTTCGCATGGAGGAAATTGTGGAGGGAACTGTGGGAGCTCTTCACATTCTGGCTCGGGAGGCTCACAACAGGGCAGTGATTCGAGGACTCAACTGCATACCCCTTTTTGTGCAGGTAATGTATGAAACTGTTGTGGCATTGGTCGCACAGTGTATTGTTGTCATATACAGGTGGCTGGGTTTACGTTGATAGTCTAGGCAAGCATTCTGTAATTTTTGTTACATGCCTGTCACTCGTCTTTTAGCCATCAGTGAAAGCAGGCATAAGCTGGAAAACACAGTGTATTATGATTTTCTAAAACCAGCAAAATTAGGTTTAATATTTTCATATTTTCCTGTCACAGCTAGGATGTTTGAAAGGAACCTAAAGCTTTTCTCAAAAGGACAATCATAAACACGTTGTCATTAGGGCTTAGTTTTGCCAAGTTTAAATCCTGTGTCAGGCTGGTTTGCACAAAATGATAGGTCAGAGAGTCCAGGCAGATGATAATACCTAAAAACCGTGGTTGTCATTTCACTCAAATCAGTTTATTGAAACATGATATATTCCAAATGTCTCGGTTTTTCTGCACACATCATTGAGAGGCTGACAAACCACAGACTTTGTAGCAGCAATCCTTGGTGTCTCTGTAAATTTGCATCTGTAAACCAAACAGCAGTCTGAACGAACCCACAACATTCAGAACACGAGACACCACCTCGTCACAGAAACTCCCTGTTACATTACAGAATTGTTCCCCTTACTGTGATATTTGCACCTTTCGACAGATACATCTGACTTGTTTAGAAAGCTGTTGTCTGGATTAACCCTCCCAGAATTGGAAAATTCAACATAAACTGGTATAAGAAATAATCTAAAATTAGAATCAACAGGTGAGGAAAAGGTACTGTTGCTGGATAGGTCAAACATTTAAAAAACTTTTGAATAGCATAACAAGAATTTCCTTTATCTGGAACCTACAAGGTAGTAGACAGAGGGACATCTAAAAGCTCAGGAAAAAGAGGCAAATGAATTAAATGAAGACATGACAGTAGTTGTATGAAAGAGCAAAAGACAAGTGGTTTTAGCATGGATTGTTTAAGGATCTAGGCTTTTTTAGGGGATAACAGTTTCTACATAAAAATTTATTACAATCATGTTAACACATGTAAGTGGTAATGCAACCAATGTATTGTTCCAGCTGTTGTAATGTACTGGCCTATTTTTAATACAACTAGTCTATTATTTCAGCTGTTGTACTCACCCATTGAAAACATCCAGCGTGTGGCAGCAGGGGTCTTGTGTGAGCTGGCAGCTGATAAAGAAGGAGCTGAGATGATTGAGCAGGAAGGTGCCACCGCTCCACTCACAGAACTGCTACACTCTAGAAACGAAGGAGTTGGTGGGTACCATCTTTTGTCTATAGCATGGCTTGGAGTAACTGTTGTGTCAAGTTAATAAGTTTTGAGTCGAGATGTACTTCACTGCGCCAAGTTTTATCCCCTGCAGAATGGCTAGTCATCTGCCGAGAGTGCCACACAAAGCACAAATTCGACCTCCCGATTTGATCCTTAAGAGATTTCCATAAAAATTGCATTCAGGAACCGAACGGCGCTGTCTGTAAATCCTTCAGAGAGTACGGCAAACAGCTTAACCACTTAACTACAGAACTACATAGCTACACACACACACACACACACACACGCACGCACACACACACACACTCACACAAAAGCATACTACAGGAGGTGACTAATTAGGGGTGTTTTCTCTGAAGTTGGGATGCATCTGCCAGAACATATTTGCCACCTTACTGACATTAATTTTGGAATAGAATGGATACCCATTCCTCCTGCTCCAAACATTTACATCACAGTCCATATTACACTTGATGGAAGCTGTAGAGAGCAGATTCCTGGGCATTGTGAACACTTTAGTCAGAACACTGATTGACGAAAACACAGATGAAGGTGATACTATAGTTTTCACTGACGGATCAGTAATTTGGGTCAAGCAAAGTGTTTGGACATTCACAGTAGGCTCAAGGGAGAAAACCATCAAGGAGATGAATGGTGCCTTTGCTGATTCAACTAGCAGCCTTAAGATGGAAACTATGGCTGTACCAAAGGCATTAGTATGGCCTGTTTACACGCGTGCATATTTAGGGACTGGATGAATATGCTTTACAAAATCCAGCCTGGTTTCATGAGACAGGAATGGATTGCAACACTAAACACTTCGGGAATGGCTGCCCTAACATTCATCTTTGTGCTAGGTCATGCGGGTGTTCAAAAGAACGAGCGTGCAATTTTCTTGCAGACACTGCAGTTGCTATTCAGTACAGAACAGAAGCAGTGTTATCAATGCCATGCGCAGTTCTTACAGAGTCGACTCTGTATCCAAGTCTAGGCTGATGGACATGGAGATGAAGCCTGGAGCTGCAAGAAATGAACATTTCATTAAGCATCATCAGTCGTTTTACACTTGTAGAGCTTTTGAGGAGGAGATCGGAGCACTATTGATCTATCCAGAGTGCTATGATGATATAATCCTTACTAATCCCTATCTTTCCAGCTAAGAAGAAAAGAACATTGTCTCTTTCTACCTTGGCAAATTTTATGTCGGTCTGATCATTTCCTGTATATAATGGTTGTATATTTTTCATAAATGTTTCCCTCTTTGTTAGAACCACACTTGAATCCCGATTCAAGCTTCTTCAAAAAGGTTATACCAGCTATTGTTTTCTTCAACTAAGTTATTCCTAGATTGTCTTTACAAATGTTTCTTGTCCATCATTAGTGTTCCCGCTACTGATGCTTTGGAGGAAAACAAATCATTGCATTGCAGTGACCCAAACAGTTTTGTCTCATATTATCCCTTCTATGAGAATGTTGAATAAGGAATCGACATCACAGCACTTGGGACACCCCCAAAAGTGTTCCGTCCCCATCTTCAACAGCGAGGGAAGAGTTAAAATTTGGATGGTACCAGTAACTATCTGATCTAAGAGAGAAGTGTCTGGGTTTAAGAGGTACGAAACAAAAGCAGACCTGATATCCCACAGTGTACTACTGGCTTCTGGCTGAGGAGCGAATGGGGAAGGATACTAATAAGAGAAGATGCAACCTGAAATTTATTGTTATGGCAGATCAGGCCCCTAACCTTGGCTGGCACCTGGTATAGGAAGGAAGCTCAGACAGACCACTGCTGTTCTGATCTGGCAGCTTCTGCATCATGCTTTGTTCCAAACATTTTGGTGTTACTTTTGAAGTTAACAAGGCAGGCTGATAGAGAGATCATGTTGCATAGGCAAAACATTGAATCTACATAACTGTCCAGGCTTTCTGCTATGGGAAGGAGGAACTGCGAGGTTATTGAATTTTATACGACCACATCACGCTGGCTACAAGTTTGGTAGGGAAATCCCCAGAATGCCCCATAGTATAGGGCGGTTAGGGTAGTCTCTATTCATTTAGCCCTAACCTTAACCCCCCTATAATATAGTACTGTCCAGAGAAACCCCTAGGAATAGCTAGGGATTCCCTACCAAATCACGTAGCTGGCGTGATGTGGTCGTGTAAACTTGAAGAACCCTCTGTCTTGCTAGTCACACTCGTCTATGCCTCCCTTTAGCACACAAAAAACACAGCTGTAGGGAACACAAAGCCAATGATGCAATAAAATCAGTACTAACCCCTGATTGATCATGGTACCATGCAGCTTCCCTGAAACTGAAATTTCAAATTACAGAATCTTCACAGGGCAAGATCTTAGTTGTCCAGAGATGTTCAATGGTGAGAGTGTTAACTTCATTACTTTGGGTCTTTTATGGCTTGGCCTGTGTCAGCAGTAAGCTTGTTGCTGAGCATTTGGCACAAAAGACTACCTATGTAACTTCAATGAGGGATCTACAAAAACACCAGCATTTGTGTTTAAGAAAGTCTTATAAAAATAAAGTTGTTCACTTATTAATCACAAAGAACGCATCATATGTTCATAGATTCCTACCTGGAAGCCCAATGAATGCAAGATGCGTCAATTTTACATCTCTTTTGACTACCCCTTGGGCCTGTGATGCTAAACCCTCTGGGACTCAAAGAGTTAAGGAATTAGGCAATCAAATAAAAGCCAGAGATTTAAGAAGAAACATTTAGGAAGATGTGTTACAGAGTTAATTATTTGAGTCATAACAAAGAAAACTGTTTTGTAAAGAAAGCAAAAAGAAATGTTTGTCCCACTTTCTCTGCAGCCACATATGCTGCTGCTGTTCTTTTCCGGATGTCAGAGGACAAACCTCAGGATTACAAGAAGCGGCTGTCAATGGAACTGACAAGTTCCCTGTATCGTGGTGATTCCAACTGGACTGATGTGAGTTCTGGTAACATTTTTGTTTTCCTTCTTGTAACCCAAGCGTGATGCAGATTGGGTGTTTACAGTAGGGCTGTACCGAATATGCGCTTCGTATTAGCTTCGGAGCCAAATAGTGGTTACCTTACACCAGTTTCTGGACTGGTGGAAAATAAACATATCAAGATTTTCCATCTTGGTTCATACTGTCAAGCGTTATCTTTGTGCACCACCTATGAGCATACCAAGTGAACTCCTGTTTAGTAGAGCTGGAAATACATTCAGTGAGACAAGAAGCTGCTTTAATGCTGACAACATCGAACGATTGTTTTTAAAGCTAATGCTTTCTTGCATTCTACATACATCCAGTTTTAACATTTAGCTGTGAGTCCTAGACAATCGGTAGGCAGACCAAACAATTTCTTGAGGCTTCATAGATGTGGTTCTACAGAACAATGCTTAAAATAACTTGGACGGCCAGAAAAAAGCAACCAAGAGGTTTTGAAAGAGGCGGGAGCCCGAAGACACCTACACTACTCACAGACATCAGAAGGAGACGGTAATCATTTTTCGGCCATGTTAAAAGAAGAGGGAAAATGGAACATGTGATGACCACTGGAAAGATCTGTGGAAGGAGGGATAGAGGAAGACAACGAGAGAAGATTCTTGACAATCTTGTTGCATGGCATGGAGGTGTGTCAGCACACGAACTAATACATACTGCAGGAGATCGCGGATTGTGGCAAAGCATAATCACCCATGCCAGTCGACAAAGCACCTGATGATGATGATTCACTATTCGTATTCGGCCGAATAGTTGGTCCAGCTATTCATATTCGGCCGAATAATGAAAATCACTATTCGGTACAGCCCTAGTTTACAGTGTGATATATTTATACTCCCACTGGTGCTGTAGTCTGTGAAATGAACTGGGATTCCTCTGTCTGCTCTTTGAGAGAAGACGGCAGCATATGTGGAAGAAATCTTGTGCAGTCAAAGTAATTCTTGGCTCAGAATTATTCTATGGTCTTTGCATTCACCGGCTGTAAACTCTAGTGGAAAGTTTTGCTTGTTCCTCCACTTCTGTACTTTGATGTCGTTCCAGGACTTGAGTTTTAGGTGCAGAGTGTTGGTTCATTGTCTCTCAGGCATAAATACTCTGACTTAGAAGGAAATAGCCGTGATTGGTTGCTTTTTACGGCGTGGGAGGAGGGGGAAGAGGGACTTTTTTCCACCCCAAAATATGGGCCTCTGAACCGTGACCATCCACTCTTATTTCTGCTTCTGCCCTTTAACACATCTCTTCTGGTTTTGAAATGGCGGCGCCAAGACGGTTTTGCCATGACACACAGAATTATCACAAAAATTTACACTTTATTGGTGTTTGCTCAATAACACAGTGCCTTCATTGCAAATTCTTATATGATGGATATTTTGTTATTCATGGAAGCTTAAGTATTTTTTTGATTAAGGGGTGAAATGAAAAAAAATGTATCCTATCAAACAGCTGTCATGTCATAAACGATAATGTAGCCATTCTAAATGTGGGAGTCTGTAAGTAAGACCAGGTCGACTCTAGCAAAATAAGTCAGGCAACCAACCAGGAGGCGCACCACAACCAACAGGATGCCACACACAAACACAATGGGGAATATATCTGTATTTGCAGACACATCTCTTGAGGCCTCAGGTTATTTATCTGCTTGTCTTCTAACTTTTCAGGATAGTCTTTTATAAAAAAGTTTTATTAAGAAAGAATTTTTAACTCTGTTAATCCGAAACAATTTTATAACTGTAAGCTCTTATATACCAAGTAGTTGGTCTTTGATGCAGTAAATACTTAGATCTGAAGGAGTTCATTAGAGACACTGAGACAGTTGTAACTAAACTAATAATTCTGACCCAGAGTAAATGTGACACCTGTCGGTGGTAAAAGGCAATAAGAGCATCACATTATTGCACCAAGAAACATATAGTGAGACCTAAAGAGTTAACCACATAAGTTGTGGGTTTACTGTTCTGTTGCCACTATTTATTGCAGCCTCCTGGCTTTGATGACATGTCCATGCCACTGGAAGATCCTAGAAATCACATGTTTAACCCACAAGGTTCTCAGGGCAGCTTATATGGACGTGGACCAACAGGTAATGATTATTTTCTGCACGTAAATATACACTGCTCTGACCCCACTGACCTCTATCCTTTTGTGACCTAGCTCGTTGCGCACTACAGGCGGTGGACCAGCACAATGCAGCAAGATTAACTGCTGCTCTGGGCAGTGAGCTACTATATGAAGAAGCGGATGTGGCGAAGGCTCTATGGGATCAAATGGACAGTGCAAAAGAACAGATAGGGAATCCGTGCACTGAAAGATTGAAAGGGGGGGGGGGGGGACTTTTAATCAGATTGCAACTGGGACTATTAGCTTCTTCTTCTTTGCATTCACCAACTGTAAACTCTGGTAGAAAGTTCTGGTTGTTCATCTGCTTCTGGACTGCAGTCCTGTTCCAGAACCTGAGTGTTGTATGTGCATCCGCTTTACAGATCTGACTTTATGCAGACTGCTGGTTGCTTGCCTGTTGGGCAGATGCACTCTGACTTCCAAGGAAGCCCCCAATTAGTCGACTCTCATGACATGCTTTTGGGTAGGCAGTAGGTCTATTCTTGTTTTCCATGTAATAGGGCCTCGGAATCCTCACTGGGAGGACTAATAGCGCGCCAGTTCTTCATTGGTGTCTGGCAAGGGGATGGAGCGCACATGTTGGAATGTGCAATGAATTCAGTTCCTGATTCATTCATTCAGTGCAACAGGATTAACAATGTCCTTACTCACAATAGGATAGGACGAACAAATCACACTTTTTCACAGGAGGAATCCATTGTTCTCAGACAACGTTTGTTGTCAATGTTACCCACATCCAGTCTGCCTGTCTCCAGTCCCTAACGTCTTGTAATGTTTATAAGTCTATCGCAGTCTGTAACTAAACACTTACTCACAGTCACAAGCAAAGCTGGGAGAAAATCTTCTAGCTCTCTGTAACATGTACACCAATCTTGGCTTGCCCTTCACAGATGATTGCCACCCAACTCTTACATCAAGCTTGTACTTTACAATCACCACCCATCGCTTACATCAAGCTTGCTCTTCACAAACGATCACCCATCGCTTACATCAAGCTTGCTCTTCACAAATGATCACCACCCATCTCTAAGCCGCACAAACTGTCATCTGATGACAGTGAGCTCTAGTCTGGTTAGTTGTGTCTAGCATCATCATCATGCAGCAGGTCCTTTGCAGAACACCATTCTTATTACAGCACATCAGAAAGCCCGTTGATCCATTGTCAACTTTCACCCCCTCGTGAACTTTAACCTTTGAGGTTATCCTTGATTTCCTGTTTACACTGTCATGCTGGTTGGCCCCTTACTTTTCCTCCAGGCAAATGTACATGGTTTTCCTTTGTTTGAATGCTTACTGAAGACAGGATTTTCAATAAAAAGGGACTTGGGACTCCCAGTTTGACCCAGCTTAAAGTGAGTGCCAGGGAAAACTGGGTAATAAAAGGCAGTCTTTTGACATATCCACACATCTCATACAGTACTGACTAGACTAGAAGTGGCACTGGAACTGTACATGCTGTATGCTTTAGACATGGACAAGGATTTTGTTTGAAACCTTTCTTATCCTCGTGATGTGTGAACATATTAGCGAGCAATATTTTATGTGGATTTTGTTTTACAAAATTCACCTCACAATGTCCTTTGAAGTAAAGGTACTCATCGAGTGCCAATTGGTCTAAAAATACATGTCTAGTCGATTGGGCCAAATATGGGAAAGTGGTAGTTTATTTTCTCAAAAGAGAACAAGATGAGAAACTGACTTGCCAAGCACGGCACACAACAATCCTAAACAAACTATCATTTAGCTTATGGAGTTAAACCAAAAACAAAATTAGCATGCAAGAAATACCTGCATTCTGATGTAATTTGTTGTAGTCAGTCCATATATTCTTATGTCATTTGTTGTAGTCAGTCGATATATTCTGATGTCATTTGCTGTAGTCAGTCAATATATTCTGATGTCATTGGTTGTAGTCAGTCGATATATTCTGTCGTCATTTGTTGTAGTCAGTCAATATATTCTGATGTCATTTGTTGTAGTCAGTCGATATATTCTGATGTCATTTGCTGTAGTCAGTCAATATATTCTGTCATTTGTTGTAGTCAGTCCATATATTCTGATGTCATTGGTTGTAGTCAGTCCATATATTCTGATGTCATTGGTTGTAGTCAGTCCATATATTCTGATGTCATTGGTTGTAGTCAGTCCATATATTCTGTCGTCATTTGTTGTAGTCAGTCGATATATTCTGTCGTCATTTGTTGTAGTCAGTCCATATATTCTGATGTCATTTGTTGTAGTCAGTCCATATATTCTGATGTCATTTGTTGTAGTCAGTTGATATATTCTGTCATTTGTTGCAGTCAGTCGATATATTCTGATGTCATTTGTTGTAGTCAGTCAATATATTCTGATGTCATTTGTTGTAGTCAGTCAATATATTCTGATCTCATTTGTTGCAGTCAGTCGATATATTCTGATGTCATTTGTTGTAATCAGTCCATATATTCTGATGTCATTTGTTGTAGTCAGTCGATATATTCTGTCGTCATTTGTTGTAGTCTGTCGATATATTCTGATGCCATTTGTTGTAGTCAGTCGATATATTCTGATGTCATTTGTTGTAGTCAGCCCATATATTCTGTCATTTGTTGTAGTCAGTCCATATATTCTGATGTCATTTGTTGTAGTCAGTCGATATATTATCATGTCATTTGTTGCAGTCCGTTGATATATTCTGATGTCATTTGTTGTAGTCAGTCGATATATTCTGATGTCATTTGTTGTAGTCAGTCGATATATTCTGTCGTCATTTGTTGTAGTCAGTCCATATATTCTGATGTCATTTGTTGTAGTCAGTCCATATATTCTGATGTCATTTGTTGTAGTCAGTCCATATATTCTGATGTCATTTGTTGTAGTCAGTCCATATATTCTGATGTCATTTGTTGTAGTCAGTCCATATATTCTGATGTCATTTGTTGTAGTCAGTCCATATATTCTGATGTCATTTGTTGTAGTCAGTCCATATATTCTGATGTCATTTGTTGTAGTCAGTCCATATATTCTGTCGTCATTTGTTGTAGTCAGTCAATATATTCTGATGTCATTTGTTGTAGTCAGTCCATATATTCTGATGTCATTTGTTGTAGTCAGTCGATATATTCTGATGTCATTTGTTGTAGTCAGTCGATATATTCTGATGTCATTTGTTGCAGTACCTGTGTTTGGATATCATTTAGCTTACCTATATTTTGATATCTTCTGTAAATGTATGTTGTGATTTCAGTTGTTCTGACATTTGTCCTGATGTATTTTACCCAGGTTACGAGCACCTTCCGATAGACTCTATGCAGGGCCTGGACATCGGCAACCCGCACAGCGGTCACTACAGTCCCATGGACAACCTGCCAGACCTAGGCAGCCATGATGATATCAACTTTGACAACCTGGAGACCACACTGGGACATGCGTCCGCTGACAGCGCAAACCTCTGGTACGACACAGACGTTTGAGCCAAGACAGCACACGCTGAGACTGACATACTTTGCACATGATATTTCTTTTTATTACTATTTAACAAAATTTTGCCAAAATGTTTTTATGGAATAAAATTTATGTTTTTGGTATTATTGTTGTTAGCTGGTCAACAGAATTACAAAATCTATCTGTTCTTGGTCATTGTCATGGTTAAAGAAAGTGGGCATTGTAGAAAACACAAAGACAAACATTGATGAGATAGGGTAAAGGTGCCTGACTGGATTCCATCCATAGTATCAAATAGATTACACAGGATAGAAGAGTATGGGGTGCTGGTGTAATCTATAGTATCAAATAGATTACACAGGATAGAAGAGTATGGGGTGCTGGTGTAATCTATAGTATCAAATAGATTACACAGGATAGAAGAGTATGGGGTGCTGGTGTAATCTATAGTATCAAATAGATTACGCAGGATAGAAGAGTATGGGGTGCCGGACATAGTCCCTCAAAATAAACTGTCAAAGAAAATTAATAACCATGGAGATGAAGTGTCTGAGAAGGGCTGTAGGATTGACTAGACGAGCTACAATCAAAAATGAAGTCATAAGAGGGCACAGAACAGATTCTAAATTACATAACAGAGGCAGACTTTTTTTTAAAAGAGAAAATGCCTTGTGATGCCATACCATACAAGGCATACACCAAAAGAGGAGATATATGAAGAGCACCAGGTAGGTCAGAAGAGCAATAAACAGAACGATGAAAGAAGAAGTGAAGAAGAACAGTTCGGGGAAATAAACTGCAAGCCCTAAGTATAAACAGCACAACTTAGACGATCATTTGTGGTTATTTGTTTTGTCGATTTTATTTTATGTATATATTTTTTAAAGGACAGCACAAATGTGCCAGATAAGCTGGTTAGTGGTGAGACTTTGTGTTGTAGCTGACAGATTTTGTAGCTCTACTGTAGGGGTGGGGAACGATTCATCTACCAAGACTTGATTCAATATTTGTAATATCCTTTGTGGGTCTACACAGGTTTGAGCTTGAAGGTGAGCCTGCTGTATTTGGCAGAATGTTTAATTAGTTCACAGTTGTCATGGTGGCTGGAACTGCTTCCCTTTGTTGTTGAAGCTTGTGGTGTCAGCATAGGAGGGTTTGAATATCTTGAGCTGAAAACAGGACATGCTATTAATATCTTGAGTTGAAAGTGGGACATCACATTAATATTTTGAGCTGTAAGTGGGGTATCACATTAATATTTTGAGCTGGAAGTGGGACATCATATTAATATTTTGAGCTGAAAGTGGGACATCACATTCATATTTTGAGCTAAAAGTGGGACATCACATTAATATTTTGAGCTGAAAGTGGGACATCACATTTATATTTTGAGCTGAAAATGGGACGTCACATATTTTCAGCTGAAAGTGGGACATCACATTCATATTTTCAGCTGAAACGAGACATCCCAAGCATATCAGTTTAACCTCGCTTGCTTTCTTCTAAATCACTAAGTAAAGAGGTTTGATTACAGACAAGGCAACTAGTATCATGTGACTGTTTGTTGTGCAGTGAAAGTCTCTTGAAATTTCAGAATAATGAGGTAAAGTGTACCGGGCTAAAAGGGTTACTCACCTGACAGTGGTGTTAAAACCCAGTCATCATCATTCAGAAAAATTATGAAAAATGCCCATTAACTGAACTAGAAAAAATGTTACAGTGATAATTCCCATCAACACATTTCAGGCATTAAAAGTATCTGAAATCTAAAAAGGCCACAGATGCACAGAAGCAATTTCCTATACTTATATAAAACAGGACAATATGTGGGTTTTTTTTTTTTTGGGAGTATTGACAGGGCAGCTTGGCACACCTAAAACGGTGACATCTCGGTGAAAGCGGGATTTATCAATGCCTTGCATCAGCTGGTGTTAACAGTGTTGCCACTCGCAGCTGGTTTTACTCGATATCAATAACCATGGTATTGCCAGACCACATGATTTAGTGGGTTTGAACTTTTCTCATCCCTATCTTGCTGCTTGATCTCATTTCTTTTCGAGTCTTACTGGTGTTGGTTGTTTCTTGTGCATCCATGCGTTTCTTGTCCCCACTGGATCATTTCATCCAGTGTTTTCATTATCTCAAGCCAGTGCAGCCTGATTATGTGAGTGTGTACTGTAGAAAAGTGTACATAAACATTTTGTCCCTGAACTGTTGTTTTCACAGATGCTATAAAATTAGAATCAACGGGTGGGGAAAAGGTACAGTTGGCGAATAGGTCAAACATTTAAAAAACTAGTGAATAGCATAACAAGAATTTCCTTCATCTGTAATCCACAAGGTAGTAGATAGAGGGACATCTAAAAGCTCATGCTGGCAGGTCTGCAGTATTAACATAGTTGGCCTGGCTTGGCTCAGTTGGAAAATGACTGAGCTATAGTGTCTTCACAGTTCATTGTTAAATCTCCAAAAAACAAGATCAAGCATAGTTTAACAATTCTAATTAAAGTCTTGTTGTCATCATCATCAAGTGCCTTGCCAGCAGGTGGAGGCGGTCCTGCGTCTGCACTGGTCTCGGTCTTTAGTGTTCTGGATTAACAGTCCCAACAGAACACAATCTGCTGTTTTCCAAATTCCTAGCAGTTTGTTTAAAAATAACAAACGAGAACTGATATATTTTACCTATTCCCCTTAAAATTTAAAAGAACAAGATCTGACATATTTTACCCATTCCCCTTAAAATTAAAAAGAGCAAGATCTGACTATTTTACATATTCGCCTTAAAGTTAAAAAGAAAAAAATGTGACACATTTTACCCATTCCTAAGATTAAAACGAATTATTGCCATATTTCATAATTTCTCTGAAGATTAAGTGAAATGGAGATCTGCCATATTTCCTCATTGCTGTTAACTCTTTCACTCCCAAACAAGACACTGTGTGACTGGATTTACTGATATACACCAGTCACCTTACGATTATGTTTGTACATTTTATCTTTAAACGAGGCATGCTAAACCATGCAACAGCACATTTGTGTCCTCCAAAGGATGTGTATTTGGGTCCTGTGGATGTAATATATTCCTTTTTTTTGTTGCCTTCATGATTGACTCACTAGGGCATCAACTATAACCTTCTTGGATGGAAAGAGTTCAGATTACAAAGTGCAAGATCTGCCATATATCCTATTTCTGTTACGATTAAATAAAAGATCTGCCAGCTTTGGTTATTATGCCTGTGGTATTTTGCTGACATGAAAGGTCAGAGAACTTTTGCTACACCATTTCTGCATGTAGTATATCATCATATGTATTTTTTTCTACAGATGTTGTTAGGTAGAACTTTTTATGTAAATTTAGTTTCATTAATGTGTACATTTCTTTCTGACATGGCAAATGTTAGCTTTACGTCACTTGGGTAGTATATGTAAAGGTGATTTTTGCCTGTCTCTGGGTTAACATTTGACATGACAGCATTCAGGGCACGCCCATATTAGTGCTGTCTTCTTTTTCAACAGTCAGCGATGAGTCTCCATACTGATATGATGGTGGTGCCCCCTGTTGTCTGGTTAATTACTCGCCTTGCATTTGCTCTTGAGTACCACACGGAGCCTGTAAACACAATGTTTACATCAAGAAATAGAAAACAAGGGCAGAGCACTGTTAGATATAAATTATCCACACACACTTTCTTCCACTTTGTCCTAACTGTCACATCAGTTCCTTAGATCTCATTGTGTTCCATATGAATTTTCTAGCAACTCTGATGTAACTGCGGGCCTAGGCAAGTTTTCACTTTCCCTTCTCAGATCTAATAGTTTGGTTTGAATTCTTCTAGCAACTCACCTTCTCAGATCTCATAGTAAGGTGTTAATTTTTCTAGCAACTCTGATGTAACTGCTGGCCTAGGCAAGGTTTTACTTCCCCTTCTCAGATCTCATAGTTTGTTTGGTGGGAATTCTTCTAGCAGCTCTAATTTAATTACTGGCCTAGGCAATTTTTCACTTGACCTTCTCAGATCTCATAATTTGGTGTGAATTCTTCTAGCAACTCACCTTCTCAGATCTCATTGTTTGTTTGGTGAGAATTCTTCTAGCAGCTCCAATTTAATTGCTGGCCTAGGCAAGTTTTCACTTCACCTTCTCGGATCTCATTGTTTGTTGTGAATTCTTCTAAGCAGTTCTGATTTAACTGCTTGCCCAGGCAGGTTTTCACTTAACCTTCTCGGATCTCATTGTTTGTTTGGTGTGAATTCTTTAGCAACTCTTGTTTTAATAAATAATGACCTAGGAAAATTTTGGTTTCACTTTTTTCAGATCTAGTAATTTCTTTAGTAAAATTACTCTAGCAACTCTGATTTAATTACTGCTGGCCTAGGCAGGTTTTCATTTCTCTTCTGTATAGTTTCTCTTGTCAGGTAACACTGTTTATCACAGATCAGGTGACAGACAGCTCACTACAACACCTGTTCTGGCAGCTGACTATGGGGTGGGAACGGTTGCGGGACTGTCCTGTAACACAACGCCAAAAATATCTTTGCTGGCTGAAGAAGGGGACAAGGCTTATGGAGAGTGTCCTGATGATGTCAGGCCACTGATTCCATCCTTACAACTGAGCTTTTGGCAGAGTATCTGTTCCATGGTGTACACTTTTGTGGTCATTGAACAGTTGTACCAGTGCTGCTGTTGGAAATAGCTGCGGTCATCATGCCCTGATCCGCACGGAAACCCATCAGTGGAGCTCTCCACATTTGTATGTAGCAGATCACCAGCATGTACATACCGTTCACTTGTTCTTGTCTGTAGGATGGACTTTGCTATGCATACATTATTCATGACTATATAAAAAAACAAGGAAATGAAAATATAACACACTTGAAAGCTGTGTTTAATTTTTAGTTTGGCAGTACATTACAGAAGGATCTCAGCAACTGACTTGATTTGTGTGTTAGTTGTGTCTATTTCACTGTCATATTCTTTTAACATAAAATGTTCTCAGTAAGTTCATATCATATATGCAAGTCACAGTTAT